CAAGTGGAGTTCTTCCTGTGAAAAGATATTTTAGCAGAAGTTTCTTGGATTGTAGAAACTGGAAAAGGGGCTTGGTTTGAGAGGTTCACATTATTATTAAGGAAGAGAGATGATAATGAGAGCACCAAACAGTAAAAATAAAATTGGTGGTGCTTTGTATTCTGGGTAAGATGCTCCATCCATTTTTTTCTACGCACATTTGAGCTTAGATGTTCTTATCCAATCTTCCCAGTGTTTTATGCCTCCGCTTTAATAAAGAAGAAAATTCTCTTTGTGACTTCAAAGTATCCTAGAAAAGTTGAAGTTTATATATTGTCAGTTTCATGGTATGTGTGGGCAACATAAATGCAAGGAGTAATAAAGTCATGAGAGAAAACTTTCCTTAAGAAGACAAGGAACCTGATTATTTGATAACTCTCCTTGGTACAGCAGGCTAACATGGCCTATGGGTACCCACTGAGTTCCTTCCATCCAAAAGTAGAGGTAGGTTTGTAGTTGTTATGTGCCATTGAGTCCTTACTCTTTGCCTTGCTAGCTTGACAACTGATAGAGGGGGTAGAATAATGGTACGGGGACTCTCCCATAAGTCTTGGAGGTCCTATCTTAGGAGTCCTTGCCTCCAGATGAGAGTCAGGATTCTGAGAAGAGCAATGGGTAACATCTCTCTATGCTCCCGTGGCAAAAATTTTATAAACAGTCCTTTGTAAAGATTGTATAACATCCTTTTAAGAATCTTGTTCATCCATTCTACTTTGCTTTAATATTCTGGGTGGTAAGCAGCCTACAATCAATAATGAATTCCAAGGGATTTACCTTGGACTTGTGTAATTTGGGCAGTAAAAAAGAAAAATGGATTATTGTCTAATTGAAAAGACATGAAAAGGCAAAACCCAGAAATATTTCCTTGAGTAAGGCTTGGCAGACTTCAGAGCTCTCTCTCTTCTGATTAAAAAGGCTTCCACCAATCCTGTAATGGTGTTTATTAATACTAGGAAATTCTGTTTCCTTGGCACTACGTGGTGGTGGTGTTCTGTACTGCTGATTAAGAACAAAAGTTGAACTTTTGATTAATTTTTAGCTGCTATAAGAGAAGATTGCTCATCTTTGTTCCATGGAGCATGTCGTGGATTTGAACTACTTGCCTTTGGGTTAGGAGTTCAACTCTTTTTTTGTAATTTTATTAGTTTTAATGAATATTTACAGAGATTTTGGGTTATCATTCATTGTTGCACTGTTTTCTCTACCCTCCTCCCCAGTTTGTTCTTCTCCTCCCCCAGCCGAATGTCTGTTTTAATTGTCCAATTGCCACAGTGCTTGTCAAAGCCAGTTCTGATTAATCTCCTTTGTCAGTATGGCCTTTGCCATTCCCTATCACGCATCCCTGAGAGAGACTTCACCCTGATTCATAAGGAAAAGGGGATGGCGTATTCTCTTAGCTACTTCCTGCTGAAAAGGGACGCTGTGGGTTTCAGGGTGAAGAGCTTCTCTCACTACTCTAAAGGGCCCCTTTGGCAGTAGGAAACACATAGACTATTATGGAGATTGATTTTGGAATTTAGATGCACTGTTATCAAATGTGCCTAACCGTACATGTTCATATCCTTGAAGATGTATCATGGAGGTGTTGCAGCCTAGAAGACACAAATTTAACTAACAAGTTAAAAGTACATGAGTCAAAAATTAACAAGCAA